CTATAAAACATCACTAGTCCTACGGAAGCGTAGACTGTGGCGTGAAAGTGGATTTCAGTGATTGGCCCATAGCTAAAGGGACCGTAAAGACAGGTCTGCTGCACACAGACACTTCAGATAAGTTCCCAAAAGACTGAGGCTCTTAAAAATAAAGCTAGACTTTTAGAGCAGTTGAATGTGTTTTCCACAATTTCTTTTGTTGTTTAAAAACATATTATGCTATTTTATTATGAATGTTTCTTGTTAAAAGATTTTTTTAACGTTTAAGTCCACACATCTTATGCTTTGTGGTATTCTGCACTTCATCTTGGTGGTCACTTTTTAAACACCACAATGTATTAAATAAATACAAATGCTGGGAACCAATTCTTTTTTACATTTCTATAATATTTTGTTCTATTCAGCTACACAAGCATCCTCTTTAAACTACTAAGAATTGTACTATAAATGTGACTTTACCCGATTGTTATGTAAACCGTAATATTTATTGATATGCCGCACAATGTCCTCCCTTTTGGTGCTATAGAAATGGCCACCCTAGCCGAGCTTGTCTCCTTACGACTGTTTACACACCACGCTAACACGGTTTCTCGCCTCCTAGTGACAATCTACAGTACTACTGCTGCCAGAACTACTACTACTACTCTCTAGAGGTAAACGAGCAAACCAATATTGCGGGCGCCTGTAACATTCAGGAAGTTTGGTTTTAATTGTGATATTTATTTATTTATTTTTTTTTTAAGAGAGTCAGGCGAAGGCGACAGCCTTTGGTCAATTTACTTGAAAGAGTTGGCTTTTGGAAAGTAGATACGACCATTGATAGTCTAATCAGGGCTTACAGACGCTGGCAACAATGAAAGACTATGAGGTTCATCACATTGCTAAGCAGAATCATCACTGGAAATAGTGCAGCACTGTAGCGAAGCTTGTATTGTTATGAATGTCTGAAGTTTCATGATTATGGAGGCAGACTGTAAGGAGATGATGCGGTCTTCTCATGTGCTCTTTGTTATCTGAGAACCGAGCCAGAACTGACCTGCACTGAGCCCCACTGATGAACTAGTACCATGTTAGTGTGGTTCGGTTGTCTTTTGCACGGTTCAGTTCAGTTTACATTCCATTTACACTCAACAGTCACTCGGTTACCGTGCTCAGACCGATCTCGGTTTCAAAAGGGTAGTAGGCTGAGCCTCACTGGAGGTGACGTATTTTGGGGTTTTATCCAATCAGGGCTCTACTTTCTCTGCTAACCTTCTCATAGAGGCTGACCTGCTGCTCCAGAGCAGAGGGGAGGTTGCATCTGAGAGCGGAATAAACATCTGATTAATGTGCAACATCCCCATGAAATCAGCTGCTTTTTATTTAATTTTTTATGCAGTTTAAATGACTACGTTTGTGAAGTTTGAATAATGCAGATTTTACGAATAATGTTACAAAATTGACATCGTATTCCATGAGAAATCAGCACTGCTGTGAAGTCTCTCTCTGGATTTATCCATTGATAATTAAATGATCTCCAGCTCCTATTTAAAGGAGATTTTTTTTCTCTCTGTAAACCAGTGAATCCTGGGGAGGAAATGTAATGACAGACTATTTCACCGCAATATTCCATTTATTTATTCCCACCCAACAACCTATGGAGGCAATAAAGGGAAAAATATACTTTTTATGTCAGACAAAATTATCATTTCTTTAAGTTAGTTGTAAAAAAAAAAAATCTAGAAGTTTAATTCTTTGTCTTTAGTTATTCTGCCCTTAAAAGCAACTATCTTTTCCAGGAGAGTTCTTTTTTCAGATTTTTGCTTTTGTAAACCTTTGCCCTGCTACCAGAGACACTTGTTTTAAACCACTGGTCTTTACTAACAGTTGTATTGTTCAACAGCTAAAGGCTGTTTTACAAGATCCTATGTCCCAGTTTCTAATTCAGATCGTTGTAAAATAAAATAAAAATAACTGTGTATTTGTTGTTCTGCGTTACCACCATGATTTTTTATTGGAACCAGAGCTCTGCTTCACCAAACCAACAGAAGGGAGCTGGGATTTTCTAAATATCCTTGTTTAGTTAAACCTCGACCCGAAAGCAGTAAAAGAATCAAAGCTGTTGTACTTGTTAATGAATCTGCCTTTGCGTTGGGGTGCCAATATTTGTGGTTTTTCCAACAACTACCGGCATGAATGTCAACTTTTCTAGGGGTGGCATCTGATCCCTATGCAGACTGCTGGGTCCCGATGTAGGCCCGAACAGAGCCCTGCCTTCACAAAGATGATCTGTGTTGTGTTCAGGTTTTTCAGTAGTGGTTTGTTCCTGTGTGCAGAGGGAGATAATGAAATCTTATTACCGTTTGTCAGAAGTCTGTGTTTGGTGTTAAACATTAAACATCTTATCAGAATCAGCAGATGTGCTAAACTTGGCCGGGAAGTTCTGTCCCACTTCCTGATGTGAAAATCAGAATTTTACAAGAAATTTGACTTGGTGTTGATGGTGCAGACAAATTAGATATATAAACAGAATACAGAATGTATAGCTATATACAATATACTACATATAATATACTATATACAATACAGACATCCCCCGTTGAAAAGCTCATTTCAGGGAGATGCTTAACCCGATCTTTTATTTTCAATGCTTTCAATCTTGTATCCTTGAACATCAGTTGTGCTTTCTGTTTTTCTTGGTACTTCAGCATACAGCGCACCTCGCCACGGTGTCATCATTCCTCACCATGGCCGGTTCTAGACAGGGACCAACGGGGGCCAGTGCCCCTGTAGATCATGTCCTGGCCCCTGTTATGGCCCCTGTACTGAAGACATAATGCTTAAAAGAAATTCTAACGATGATGTTCTGGAACAGACATGATTACTGATGGGTCCTTTGGATCTATTTCATTCTTTTTCATTACACAATTCTGTTCTACTAATTATTCAAAAACAATAAGGTGACAGCTTCAGTGGGATTGAAATAGGATCCCAGTTTTAATCTGCTAAATTTTTTTTTTTCCCAACACATAAAAAAATTCTCTAATTTTTACAGATGAATTTAACAGTTTTTCTTGAGTTCTAATTCAAATGTTATAGAAAAAGGCAGTTTTAACTTTAATTAAGTCAAAAATGTGTAAAATTCCAAAAATTTTTTAATTTATATTGACCTCATAACAAATAAAAAATTTGATCGAACCTAATTGAAAATAAATTTCCCTTCATGCAGCTCTCTTAATATATTTGAATCTCTTGCACTGTTTTTTTTTATTTCATGCTTTTCTGGGCCCCCATGAAAACACGCCGGCCCCCTCCTGGCCCCCTGGTACATTTGGTCTAGATCTGCCACTGTACCTCACCTTCACTAGACGTGGATATACTTTAGTATATTCTGCTGTAAAATTAGTTATGTTAATTTTTTCCTCGAGGATTGAACCTCTGCCGTTTCCCAGGATGCACAGCTTTGAGTGGTAACTAGGTGACTGCCAGAGAGAAACCCAGAGAAACTAATCAGACTGATCCAATCAGCTCTCTGATCAACCAGTCGCCTGGAACGCATCGCTTTGGACAGATACGCTGCACAGGTTTCACCAGCAACCTCCTCCCCACCCTGCTCTCTTGTTGTCTGAGCAATCAAAGTAGTTCTAATCCACACATGATGCACAAATTAATGTTTTGCCTGCGCTCTCTCACTTGCATTAAAAAAACACCACCTCGCAGAGTCTAAAATCGGGGATAATTTAATCAGACTCACGGGCATCCGTGAACAATTATCTATCAGGGAGACTCCCGGAACTTCCGGTGGACTTGGGATGTCTGTAAAATATATATCATATAGCCATAGACAACATACACAGAGACAGTGCGTTAATGTAACGCAGGAGGTCTGGAGATGCTACGTTGGTGTAGCTTCTAGAACCTGAAGAGAGGCAGTGTCAGTGTGACTGGGGTCCCTGGGCCTTGTTGATAAGGCTGGTAGCAGACGGGAAGAAACTGTTCTTGTTGCGTGAGGTTTTAGTCCTGATGGACAGCAGCCTCCTGCCAGAGGGAAGAAACTGAAATAGTTTGTGGCTGGGGTGCCAGGGATCAGCCATAATCTTCCCTGCACGCCTCAGAGTCCTGGAGGCGTACACATCCTGGAGAGATGGAAGATTGCAGCCCATCACCTTCTATGCAGAAAGGATCACATGCTGCACTCTGACCTTGTGCACCATCATATTCGGCAGGTTGAGTTTTTTCAGCTGCCGCATGAAGTATTTCCTCTGCTGGGCTTTGTTGCTGAGGGAGAACTGGGATTTTTTGTAATCAGAATATCATCCTTATAGCTGGATGTTTTTGTTAAATAGGTTTGTTTCTGTCTAAAGTGAATAAAACTGACACTTTAAGTCAGTTCTGCATCTATTCCATCTAGGGTTTGCACAAGTAGAAAACTGTAATGGCATTCTGATTTTTAAATTTTTTCGTTACAAAATAAAAAGGAATACAAATTTCCTTTTTAAAAGTTAAAAACTTTTTAAATTTAAATTGGAACATTGGTAAAAAAATAAATAAAATGCTGTTTGCAGGAAAATGTATTTAATTAAGTCTTTTTATACACTTCATTCTAAGATGCATCATAAAGGAAGATAACCTTTTTCTTCTTTTCATTGGCCTCTACCTGAAAACAGCTCTGCTACACTGATGCCCTCATCGTGCCCACACTGCTGGGACAGGAAGCAGAACCTTAAGGTGGGTCCGACGTTTCTTTCTCAGAACCAGCCTGGGTTTCTACACCTGGTTCTGATCTGATCTGATCCCAAACCAAAGATTTGGTTCTACCAACATAGGGGCCAAGGGAAGCCATCTGATCCCTCTCAGATGGCTTCCCTTGGCCCCTCAACTGCCTCACAGCGGTTCTGGTTGCCCAGATGTGTAACTCTGACTATGTTGGTAGAACCAAATCTTCCAAAAATATTGCAATGAACAAAAACAATAGAACCAGCGGGTCCAGCTTTCTGTTTAAGCTCAATGGCGGTTCTACGGTACCGTAAACGGTTCTGGACGCTAAAGGTTTATTTTGTTCCATTTGCTTCACGATAAACAAAAACATTTTAAAAGTTGTGAACGTGTTCTGAAAAGGAAATGTTCCAAACTGTTCTAACCGGTTTGAAGACGACAGGAACCAGATGGATCGGGTCAGAATCTTGTCCCAATATGCCGTCCGGTCCAAACAGACTGCTGCATAGAAGAGGTGGTTCCCTGAAGCATGACAAAGGACAGTGCTGCTTTCAGACAGTTTTATTCTCAACGTGGGACAGCAGACAGGTGCGACCTTTGACCCCTACCCTTCACAGGTCTGTTCAGTAGATCAGCAAAGGGGTCGAGAACAAAGAGGAATAAATTAAAAACCCGAATCAATGCATCGGGTAAAAATAAAAAAAGAAAACTAAATTCAGTCAGAAACGTCAAAGGGGGAAATTAAAAAGAAAACCAAAGCTTCAAACTCCTCAACAAAAACTAGAAGCTTGAAATAAAAACCTTAAAAAAGTTAGAAAACGTTCAGATTGTGTTTTTGGTTGGTTTCTTCTTCCTCGCTGTGCTTCTGTGACTCCTCCTCCTCCTCCTCCTCTCTGTACAACCTTCAGTATTTACACTCTACATCCATTCATCAGTTCTGTCTCTTTAAGAGCCCTCAGCTCGGGGGCGGAGTCTCCGCTCCGCTGTCAGCCAATCAGCAGCTGCTGTTCTTGAACTCTCCGTTCTCAGTGATGGACAGTTTGGTGGGGTTGCTTGGCGACAGGCCGTTGCGGATGTTGGGGGCGCTGTAACGCTCCTTCACCTGCGTCAGCGCCGCCATCAGCCGGGAGTTCGCCGCGTCCAGCGAGCCGATCCGCTTCTCCTGATTGGACAGAAACAAAGAGGGGGAGGGGCAGGAAGTTAGATTGATTGCTATGGCCTTCAAAATAAAAGTTTGTGAGGGGATGATTACGAACACTGTCGGGTTAAAACCACACTGCCAGAGTCTGAGCCGGAACGACGGCGGCTAAAAGAAAAGTGCTTCAGTTTAACCCCTTCAGCCCGGACGGCCCGGTACAGAGAACAATGTCCTGCTCATGTTCAGTTAAAGAACTGTTTGTTTCATCCACACGCCTTTCAAATGGGCTTTAAAATTTTCAAATTCTTTTTTCCGTATACTTTTTCTTTTATAGCTGAGTAAACAAATAAAATGCGATTTAAAATTCCATCTGAAATGTGTGACTCTGTGGGGGTAATGCAACAGCAGGTATTCATTATCAGCCCCGCCCCCTAATGGCCGGCATTATTGGAAACTAGAGGCTCAGACCTTTCAGAGGAGGGGTCAGAGGTCATTGTGCGACCATTTCAGGTGATGTAACCAACATGCGTTACATAAGCTGCTCTGTTATTCTTATTTTCTATTCAGTTTGGTGATATTATTGGTAACTTACAATGAAACAATGGCTAAATCTTAGGAGCAAAGGCTTTGCCTCATGCATATTTGACCAGATTCCCTTTTATGGGTGGAAAAATGCATTTTCTTGCATTATTTTCATTGTGCCTAAACCACATTTCCACTTAGCACACTGCTAGGAGGAATCTGCTCTTAAAGGAGAAGTTCGGTTTTTTACACTTTAAGCCCATTTTCTGTAGTGTCCAGGATGAATTCGAATGAAGGACACCAAAATTTTGACAATTGCTCCTGTCTCTGCTTTTTGGCTCATTTAGAATCCCCCC